TTTTTTTGCACACGTTTCAAGCCATATGGAGCATTTGACAAAAAATCACTCAAACGCGCATGCGCGCGCGTTTTTTGCGCGTTCTGGCATTTTGCAACATATAATCGCCAAATTTTCTCTGTCATCATGTTTGGCACATTTTTCCAAGCATTTTGATACCATGTTCATCCCTTTATCACTATTAATAACGGAATGAGCGTCCGTTCAATATAAATATTTTTGTTTGCGAGCTCATGTATTACATAGTATATATGGGCAAAAACATGCCTATAAAACGTCCATTGGGATGAACAAGGAATGCCAAGTTTTTTTCATATTTTGATAGAGTATGAGTCGGAGATATGATTTCATAGCTTATTTGGCCATTAAATACATCTTGACGTCATCATAATGGCCTTGGAAGTCAAAATACAAAATTGCATATTATGACGTCATTATATTTTTTGAAAATTTAGTGTATTTCTCATAATATTGACTGATTTTCTTCCAAATTGCGGTATCTTGTAGCTTAGGAAATTGCCTACAAGATCAATACACACTGCTTTTTTTATTGACGTCATTATAGTACAAAATTCAATTAAAGGCCACATATCAGAATTTTCTTAATTTGCGTGTTAAGCCTAAGGAAGGTGAATTTCGTTCACATCATGAATCTATTTGTACTCTATGTTCTCCCAAATTCTGATACGGTGTAGCTAATAAATTATCTACAATATTGACGTACATCATTTATCATTTCGATGACATCATCATAGTGAAAATTTCAATTAAAGGCGACATGTCAGAATTTTCTTAGTTAGCGTGTAAGGCGACTTTTTCTGAAATCCTGATTCTACAAATCTCTATCGAATACCTGAAGGGGGCGCTATACCACTCTTAATGATGGTCTTTATCGTATTTATGTTCATTATCATTAGATCATCATCGGCACACTTTCATGATAACAAAATAGCACGTATCACCTAATTCGTCAAAGTGACGAATTAAAGTCTAGTTAGGTGATACGTAACGAAGTCAACGTATCACCTTTTGATTTCATCAAGATTTTTCTTTATTATTATTAGGTGGTCTGTCTTCGACAGACTACCTATTGTTTTCGTCAGAATTTTCTTTCTTTATTTCTTTATTTTTATTTCTTCCACTTTTTTGTTCACAGGATAACTCAAGATCCGTCCGGTCAATTTCTTTCAATTTTGGCACAGTCATAGGTCATTGTCATGAGACGTGACAGTAACCTTTTCAAGGTCATCAAGTCTTCATGACGTCATCCAGGCGCCATTTTGTGTTTTTTTTGGAAAATCTCAAATGATCATAACTTCATAACTGAAAGTCATTTCTCATTCATATTTACCATGATCAAGGTCAATATCAGTCCGGTCAATTTCAGGTCAAAAACTGCGCACGTGCGCGTACGTCCGCGCGTCCGTGCGCGCGCAAATTTCAAAATGCTCCAAATCGCCTCAAATTCATTTTGGATACGTTTCAGGCCATTTTACGCATTTCATAAAAATCACGCAAAACACGCATTTTTGCGCGTTTTCGTTCGTAGCGGCCAAACGAAGCATAATTTTCTAGTACGTCCTTTTGACGAGGGTATTCCTTATCTTTTTCCGAACAATTTGATACCATGTTTAGCTTTTCATGACCATTATTGACGGAATCAGCGTCCGTTTAAAATACATGTCCGTACGCGCGTGATCTTGTAATACATAGCATATATGGGCAAAAACATGCCTATACAAAATCCATTATAGCTCTTTAGGAAGTCCACAAAACCCCCAATTTTTTCTCATATTTGGATAGAATATGAGTTGGAAATATGATTTTAGGTCTCATTTGGCCATTATATATATCGTGACATCATCATAATGGCCTTGGAACTCAAAAAACGAATTTTCATATGATGACGTCATCATATATATGGAAAATTGATTGTATCTCTGTAAATTTTAAATAATTTACTTCCAAACTTAGATATGTTGTAGCTGAGACAATTCTCCACAAGATCAGTGTCCATTGTTTTTCATTTTGATGACGTCATCATGGTGAAAATTTCAATTGAAGGCGACATGTCAGAATTTTCTTCATTTGCGTGTATTGTCTATGGAAGGTGAATTTCGTTCACATCGTGAATCTACATGGCATTAATCTTTGAGCACTATCTCGCTTATTCGTGCTCTATTTTATCCCAAATTTTGGTATGTTATAGCTGAGACCATGGGCTACAAAAACGGTGTACTTTGTTTTTTGATCAGACGTTGGGATCATGTCGGAACTTTCGATTGAATGTTGAAATTGCACATTTTCTAGAACTTTGAAGGATTTTCTTTATTATTATTATTAGGTGGTCTGTCTTCGACAGACTACCTATTGTTTTCGTCAGAATTTTCTTTCTTTATTTCTTTATTAGGTGGTCTGTTATCAACAGACCACCTATTGTTTTCGTCAGAATTTTCTTTATTATTATTTATTCTTTATTTTTATTTATTTCTTCCCGTTTTTTGTTTATCGGTTAACTCAAGATCGGTTGTGTTAATTTCTTTCAATTTTAACACAGTAATAGGTCATTGTCATGAGACATGACAGGAACATTTTCAAGGTCATCAGGTTATCGTGACGTCATCCAGGCGCCATTTTGTGTAATCACATTATCCATCATATCTTCATGATGCGTACTCAAAGTTCATTTATATTCATATCACATATACTTCAGGTCAAGGGTCAACAGGTCATGTCATCAAAGGTCACATAAAGGTCATGACACGCACGTATGTGCGCGTCAAAATTTAAAATTGCTCAAAATCACCTAACTACTGAAGGAGAGTACGAATCAGGTCATTTAAAGCATTTCAAAATTTTCCGTCCGTACTTGTCGCCGCGCGCGGTGCGCGCGCTCACAACGCGCGGAAAAGGTCAAATTCAATTTGTTTACATGATTTAGATTCCTCTTACCGTAAATGACAATTTACATTAATTTCAGTCACTCTTGACCTTTCATAAGGCCGTGAGCGCGCGTCAAAGTTCAAATTCCGCGCGTGCTGCTATGGGCAATATAATGTAAATTTGATCAAAAACATGCTACTTTATAAATCGAAATAGCTCTTCAGATAGTCCGTCGACCCCCAATTTTTATATCATGGTTGGAAAGAGCATGAGTTGGAGATATGATTTCATACCATCCTGACTCGTACAAAGTGAAACAAAATCTTCATATTTGCATCTAACCCAGGTCGAAATTCCTTTAGAAACCAGTAGAAACCAGTAGAGACATTCTAATGGTTTTACTGGTTTTCAAGAAACCATTAGAGTCTAATGGTGATCAGGAGGAACTGTGAAGTAAAACCAGTATAAACCTTTACAAACCAGTAGACTGTCATGGTTTAAAGACCAGTAGAAACCAGTAAGATCTAATGGTTTGAACATGGATGCACAAATCTTAAGTCAAACTATTAGACACCTTTACAAACCAGTAGAGCCTAATGGTTTTGAAGACCACTAGAATCCGATAGAAACCAGTAGGATCTAATGGTTTTAACATGGGTGTAAAAATCCTAAGTCAAACCATTAGAAACCTTAACAAACCAGTAGAGCCTAATGGTTTGAAGACCAGAAGAAACCAATAGAAACCAGTAAGATCTAATGGTTTGAACATGGATGCACAAATCTATAAGTCAAACCATTAGACACCTTTACAAAATCAGTAGAGCCTAATGGTTTTGAATACCACTAGAATCCGATAGAAACCAGAAGAATCTAATGGTTTTAACATGGGTGTAAAAATCCTAAGTCAAACCATTAGAAACCTTAACAAACCAGTAGAGCCTAATGGTTATTGAAGACCACTAGAATCCGATAGAAACCAGTAGAATCTAATGGTTTTAACATGGGTGTAAAAATCCTAAGTCAAACCATTAGACACCTTTACAAAACCAGTAGAGCCTAATGGTTTGAAGACCAGAAAAAACCAATAGAAACCAGTAAGATCTAATGGTTTGAACATGGATGCACAAATCTATAAGTCAAACCATTAGACACATTTACAAAACCAGTAGAGCCTAATGGTTTTGAAGACCACTAGAATCCGATAGAAACCAGAAGAATCTAATGGTTTTAACATGGGTGTAGAAATCCTAAGTCAAACCATTAGAAACCTTAACAAACCAGTAGAGCCTAATGGTTTTTGAAGACCACTAGAATCCGATAGAAACCAGTAGAATCTAATGGTTTTAACATGGGTGTAAAAATCCTAAGTCAAACCATTAGACACCTTTACAAAACCAGTAGAGCCTAATGGTTTTGAAGACCACTAGAATCCGATAGAAACCAGAAGAATCTAATGGTTTTAACATGGGTGTAAAAATCCTAAGTCAAACCATTAGACACCTTTACAAAACCAGTAGAGCCTAATGGTTTTGAAGACCACTAGAATCCGATAGAAACCAGAAGAATATAATGGTTTTAACATGGGTGTAAAAATCCTAAGTCAAACCATTAGACACCTTTACAAAACCAGTAGAGCCTAATGGTTTTGAAGACCACTAGAATCCGATAGAAACCAGTAGATTCTAATGGTTTGAACATGGGTGTAAAAATCTTAAGTCAATTACCATTAGAAACCTTTACAAACCAGCAGATCGAGCCCATATATGTCAATGGATTTGAAAACCAGTTGAAACAAATAGAAATCAGTAAGATCTAGCGCCGCCTCTGAATCAGTCTGACTATATTTATTTAAAAACCCCAAAACAGGGATGAAAAACTCTAAAATGTCATTAGTCATTATATTAATAGTTTTATTTTACAGATTGTGCAACATCTTGACATATGCCCTGTAAGGTCTGCAATATTGATCAAGACTATACAAGCCCCAAAACCCCAAAATGCGACTGCCGCCTTTTTTAAACGGCTACACAGCTGGCATTTCTCTGGGCTACACTAACACTGTGTGTGTGTGTGTGTGCACATGTAATCAATGCATGCAGTGTGTGCGTGTACCCAGCCAGACCATGCCTTATGACACACACACAAGACAGCCATTCCTATCCTCAACAGCTACAGGAGCCAGAGCAGAGAGACAAAATCTTTTTATTACTTTGTTTTCCCCTGCTATTCTTCAATATGGGTAAGTCTTAGATTTACCTAATTTATTTGCAATATGTGCAGTAACTGTTTTCTGTTTTGAAACGTAGTAATTAATGTATGATCGTGTCTACTATATAGGAGTGCTTTCAACGCCTGCCGCAAAGATGAGAAATGTATTGTATTGTCCCATCCATGTATTTTTATGTTAGATCTTGATGCAAGTTTGTGCATTCACCTACACATGGCTTTAAAGGCATCGTTTAACAATGTTAAATCTATGATGCATGCATGGCTCTACGTATTATCAGTGTCAGTGATATGGTGTAATATTGAAGCCCTAACAAAATTGCGCTTCAAAATGATCATGAACTTGATGAAGTGCCTCAAAAAGTAAAAATCTTTGACTTTTGAGTGACCGGTTTTACCATACTCATTTTCCCCAATAGACTGTAGTGTTATAAAACCATTGGGGAAAACGTTTTTTGAAATTTTGAATTCCAATCATAAATATCTTGATAATCAGACAAGCCGCCGTCCCCCCACCCCCCCGCGCTTATCCCGAAAGAGTGCGTTAAGGCGGTACTCCGTTTCTGCAACGCACCCTAATTTCAAGACAAGCGGGGAAGGGGGCTTTAATCACTTTTTGGTGTGTTCGCAGTTTCGCACAATATAAGCCCTCATCTGGAAATAAACAGCTAGACCCGTAAATGGTAAACAAAATTCCTCCCCCGCAGGCTGTACAAAGAAGTTTGTAGTAGGCCTACATGTATGTGTGTTGCACATGCATCAACCGTTCAATTTGTTTTAACTTTATTTTTGTTCTTATTAATTGTAGGCATCTTTTGACATCTTTTGCCAAACAGTGGATTCAAAGCATATTGTGGACACAGTAGGCCTTTATTGACGTGAGACCATGCAGAAAATGCTACTTTCTCTCAACCTCCTGGATCAGCATTCAGCAGCCTCGTGACACAGTTGAAGCCATTATCGGTAATTGTGTAGATGTACTTGTATTATTTCTGTACATATATTTTTAATTTTTCCCTGATCATGACACTGATTTGAAATGCTTATTTTTCCTAAGTTTCAAATATATAAAATTCAATTAATTTTAGATCACTAAAACCTGCAGGTATATTGCAATAACCGACCATATTTTGTGAGTTTCAAACAGTGTTCTTTTCCCTCCTTTAATAGCAATAGAGCTTTGATTCTACTCTCATCAGCAAACTAGAAGTGTATTGATAATTATTTGCAAAAAAATCCTGATTCTCGTTTGCATTGACAACAAATGTTTAAAATGCAAAGGTATGTTTTATATTATGTTTGTGAGCAATGAGAGATTATTTTATTTCTGATAAATCTTTGAAACTGCACTTTTCTGACAGAATTCATTATTTAATTCATTGTTTACATTCTAGTTTTAAAATGGAAAAAAGTTTTTCTTAACTTGTTTTCCTTTCTTTTTGCTCTTTATTCATGCATTAGAATTCTTTGCGTGTATGTACCCTGGATCAAGCAGCACTTGCATTATACAGGAGATTCCACCCAAAATCTAAACCATGAGTCCAAGCTGAAGAGGAATATTTCCAAAATGAGGTCTACACACACACAGAGGTTACTTTCCCCTTCATTATAGAGATATCGAGAGAGAGAGAGAGAGAGATGGGTGGGGGGGGGGGAGTGAGTTATAGCCACGAACCTGAATAGCTTAGATGTAGAACTGAGATGCCCATTCATGTCACTTGCCATTTTAATGAATTCCAGGGTTTACAAACATACATATTAACACTTTGGGTAAAAGATCTCTGTATTTGCATAAATTTGTTATTACTATTTATGAAGTAGACCTGTTTCATAATGCTTATGTAGTAGATCAGTCTCATACTCGACCCCAGCCCCTTCATATCACAATGTCAATTCCTAAAACCTGTGGCAAATTATATAAGTTAGTAATAGAGAAAAATTGAATGAGGTAGATGCAATACAAATCGATTCCAATCTTAAGCACTTAAGACTTTATTCAGGTATGGCACGTGAACCGCCCAAAAAATTCCAAAAATGCTGCAGTTTTGTTTTATGTTTAAAGTGAACGGTAACAAAGGACCTACATGTTTTTGTATATTTTGGACTGCGCATATTCAGTGATCTCTGTATTATAATATATAGAAATGTAAAGCATATAGAACTTTATGTCAACTCCAGCATCATATATGAACGAGCCTTAAAAGACAATTCAACCCTTGTAATAAGTTCATTGAAATGGAAGCTGAAAAATAAGAGAAATAGAAAGGCGAAAGTTTGAAATAAATCGGGCCAATATAAAGGGAGTTGTGATAATATATAAATATGAGATCACTAAATCCATGCATATCTCAATGAAATGCTAGAGCGCCGTATGGCAGCCGTGCTAAAGCCAGGGTAATAATCGGGAGCGCCAGGAGGGTCAAATCTGACTGACATGAGCGCTACACAAGAACCCACTATTATTATTATTATTACACCTGTAGTCATGGGACAACTCTCCCATTTGTTAATGAAATATAATAAATTCTCTTTTTATTTTAAGTGCCTTCTCCCTTTGAGAACTACTCAAAATATATTATGAATAGCACATTATTACAGGTCCTCTACATAGAAAAGCCACTCGTGAATCATACATTTTGAAGAAAAAAATATTTAAATAATTTTGTGTGTTGAAATAAATGGGAAAGTAGTCCAGCAGCTCGTCATAGTGACATTACCGATTCAGCCAATTTAAAATGCCCTTAGGTTTAGTGATTACAGCTTTCAACAATCCATAACCACCTTATTTTCTGTCAGATTTAATTTGCTATTTTTTAAAAGTATAGTTGTCTGTTAAGGTTGGATTTCCCTTTAAAAAGTGTAAAGGGTAAGCCCTATGTAACATAATGTGATTAGGCCATTTTCGTTATAAATCAAATCAAAGTGCCGCGGAACAAATTATCTCTTTCACCTATTAAGAATAATTGTATTTCAATAGTCAGAATGCGATATGCAAACATTATGTGTTGTTAGGTAGGGCAAGACATAATGTTTGTCCTACCTATAGTACTAGCAACACGTAATGTATTCAATTTGTATTCTGACTATTTAAATACATTTATTCGTAACAGGTGAATTTAATAATTGGTAATGAGGCACTTAACAAGGACCTACCGTATTCATTAAATTTGATTACAATACGAAAATGACCTACGTACAGTACATGTATTCATATGGATAGGAAATCTTTGAACTGTTATGTAGTTTTCTGAGGGTTCATAATTTTATAAATTCTAAAGGGTTCATAATTCTACAAATGAAGTAGGATTCCTAATTCTGAAAATGAACTAGGATTCGTAATTCCAAAAATGAAATATGGTTCATAATTCAGAAAATTAAATAGGGCTCAATATACTTCCAAAAGTTTATTATTCTGAAAATGCAAATAGAACCCTTTATCCTTTTTGGAATTACGAACCGTCAATATAATGAATCCTATTTCATATTCAAAATAACACCATTTCATTTGCCGAATTATGAACCCTATTTCAATATCGTTATTAACGCCCCTTTTTTAATTCCAGAATTATGCACCATTTATATTTTTCGTAATTATGAAATCTATTTCATTTTTAAATTCAAACCCTTCTTAAATATGGACCATATTTCATTTATCGATTTGTCATACTTTGTCATAATACACTGTACTATCAAGTTACATTTATTGATGAACAGCATATCACAGCACTTGTCAAAATAGTAAGACCGTAAATGAATTTGTTTTGCTTGTGAATGTAGCAGGCTTATATTATGTAGTACACAATATTACATTTCCAATTGCTGCAACTTCATATCAATCTTTTACATGTACTATGACAATCTACAGGTCAAAATCATGCTTTGCGTAATCATTTGTGAATTATTCTCTATTTAATATACATGAATGAAGTACTTAAATTTGTGCAAATGAACTTATTCTCCATGGTGGAAAATTACAAACGAAATTTCTCAGCAAAAACTATTTCTCATTGTTTCTACTCATGATGGCTACCGTAAGATAACTATTGCAAATTGCCAAACCTACTCTTTTAAACATCTACTTCAAATTTTCAAGATTGATTTCTCTTTGTTAAAACTGGCCATAATTTCTAGACAATAATTAGCCAATTTAACATTGTTTTTTTTTTATATTTCTTCTTTTGTTGTTGAAATGTGTAAAAAAAATCCTGTTTCATTTAAGCTGTTAACCTTGCTTTTAAAATTCATGTCATTGTAATCACTATATGATGTATGATATTCTGACAGATAATTAAAGGATACACTGTTAAGTGTTAAATATGATAAAGATGAACCAACATGATTGTGATGCCTTTTGTTAAAAGACGTTTGCGAGAGAAATGGCTGAACCTCAAGAAAATAGTTAATTGTGTTGGAAGCAAACTTCATGCCAGCTACTGTCATTTTCGTGTCTACTTTGCAGACCAGCATGCCCTTTTAAAGTACAAAAAAACAAAACAAGGGCTGGCAGATTTTGTGAGGAGTACTGTGTTGGAAGTGCATTGATGTAGTAGAATTTAAACTGATCAAAAAAATGTCAACCATGTAATGTAACCAATGCTGTGGTTCAATTGAGGATTCCTACTTGTGTTCTACTGGTCTCCTACTAGTTCCATAGGGGATTCATACTTGTTTTCTACTGGTCTCCTAATGGTTCCAGTTGGGATTCCTACTGGTCCCTAATGGTTCCATAAGGGTTTTCCACTGGTCTTCTACTGGTATCCTAATGGTTTCTGTATGGATTCCTACTGGTCTTCTAATGGTTCCAGTTGGGATTCCTACTGGTCTCCTAACGGTTCCATTATGGTTTTCTACTGGTCTTCTAATGGTTTCTGTATGGATTCCTACTGGTCTCCTAATGGTTCCAGTTGGGATTCCTACTGGTCTCCTAATGGTTCCATTAGGGTTTTCTACTGGTCTTCTACTGGTATCCTAATGATTTCTGTATGGATTCCTACTGGTCTCCTAATGGTTCCAGTTGGGATTCCTACTGGTCTCCTAATGGTTCCATTGGGGTTTTCTACTGGTTTTCTACTGGTATCCTAATGGTTTCTGTATGGATTCCTACTGGTCTCCTAATGGTTCCATGACTTCTTTTTTACTTGTCTAATGGTTCCAGCACTTCTTTTCTACTGGTCTTCTAATGGTTTTTATATCGATTTCTACTGGTCCCCTACTGGTTCCAGTGGGGATTTGTACTTGTTTCCTACTGGTCTCCTAATGGTTCCAGTTGGGATTCCTACTGGTCTCCTAATGGTGCCATTAGGTTTTGCTAATGGTCTTCTACTGGTCTTCTGCTGGTTCCAGTACGATTTTTTTCTGCTGGTTTCTAATGGAAAAAGCGCCACTTTCCATATTGAAACCAGTAGAGAATTGCCCACTAGAAACCGTTAGAAATACTTGTTTTCTCTACTGGTTTCTATGGGATTTTCGACCTGGGAAACTAAAGAAAATGTATTTTGTTGATGACGTCATTTTTGTCTTTGTTTAATTGAGATTATCTCGCTCATCAGTGATCGATTTTCTCCCAGATTTCGGAATGTTGTAGCTGAGATAATTTTCTATCAGAAATATGTCATTTATTTTCATTTAGATGACTTCATCATAGTTAAATATTCGATTAAATGCGACAATGCATAATTTGTCATATTTGCGTGTTATGTCTATGGGAGGCCACTTTTTTCAAAACATGAATCTGCATGACAATGTGTTTTGACCAGTATCTCGGTTCTTACTCAACAGTTTTCTCCCAAATTTCAGTATGTTGTAGCTGAGACTATTTGCTATACAAATATTTCCTCATTTTTTCAATTAGATGTCAGGATCATGCTCATACTCATCATCGTCATCATCATCAATATCATCATCATCATCATCATCATCAATGTCACCATCATCATCATCATCATGGTCTGAAGACGATGATCATCAACATCACCATGATCATGATCATTATCATCATCATCAGTAACATTATCGTTTTTATCATCATATAACATTATCATTATCATGATCATCATCACCTTTACTATCATGATCATCATCATGTTCATCATGATCATCATTGTTTACATGTCTATATAACTTCTCCCATTCTCAAATCTATCATAAGACTTAGACAGACCACCTTATTCGTCTTCGTGACGAATTAAATTTCTAGTTATTATTTATTTTTATTATTCTTCCTCGAATTTGTTCGCAGGATATCTCAAGACTGAATAAAGCCATTATCATGAAACTTTCAATGATGATAGATCTTAGTCTAACTTAGAACTGTGTGACTTTTCAGACAGTCAAGGTCATCGTGACGTCATCCAGGCGCCATTTTGTGAAAATCAACTTATGATCATATCTTCATAAAGGAAAGCCATTTTTCATTCATATTTATCATGATTAAACTCAATATCCGTCCGGTCAATTTCAAGTCAATAAATGCGCGCAAAAATGCGCGTACGCTTATGTCCGCGCGTTTACGCGCGCGAAAAAAATTAAAATGCTCCAAATCATCCCAATTTTTTTTTACATCCGTTTCAGGCCATATGGAGCATTTGATAAAAAAATTACGCACACGCGCATGCGCGCGCGTTTTCGCGCGTACTGGCATTTTGCAACATAGAATCGCCGATTTTTTTCTGTCATCATATTTGGTACATTTTCCAAGCATTTTGATAATTTGTTCACCTTTTATTAACACAATGAGCGTCCGTCAAAGTTGACAGCACGCGCGGATTTGCGTTATCTTTATCCACAATACATGGGCAAAAACATGCCTATATAAAATTAATTGTAACTCTTTAGAATAGATAGAAACTCCTAATATTTTGTCATATTTGGATAGATTATGAAATGGAGATATGATTTCATGTCTCATTTGATCCTCAATTAACTCATGACGTCATCATAATGGCCTCTAAACTCAAAATTTCAATTTGCATATTATGACGTCAGCATATTTTTGGAAAATTGATTGTATCTCTGTAAATATGGATCAATTTTCTTTTAAATTTTGATATGTTCTAGCTGAGACAATTTTCTACAAATGCAGTATTCACAATTTTTATTTTTGACAAAAGTATCATGGTGTATTTTTGCAATTAAGGGAGGCATGTCAATTTTTAACAGTTTGCGTGTATTCTCTATGGGACATGACTTTTTCTCAAAACTGGATTCTACACTCCTGTCTTTCGCGAGCAAAATCTCCGTTGTTTTAGCTTCGTTTTCGCTGAGCTTCGGATATGTTGTAGCTGAGACAATGAGCTATCACAAGTCTGCCCTTTATTTTTCGATTAGATGCCGGGATCATGCTCATATTTCACTTGCAAAGTAGGATTGAGAATTCCATTTCCCGTTTACGTGTAATCGCTATGGGAGATGTTTTGGTATATCGGTAACGCACTTGACTTCCAACCTCGAGATCCCTGGTTCGAGTCCGGGTGTCTCCAACAATTTTTTGCTTCACTTTTTTTTTCCTTTTGACCTTCACTGTACCATCTCCTTTGATTATTTAAACACGTAGAATCGCAAATAATGTCATAAATAACCCTTTTTACTTTATTATTACCCTTTTTCACTTAATCCATTACTTTTTGCGTGTAATCCCTATGGGAGATGACTTTTTCTCAAATCTGGAGTCTACATTCCTGTCTTTTGCGAGCAATATCACCGTTATTTCTGCTTGGATTTTGTTGATTTTTGAATATGTTGTAGCTGAGACTATATGCTATCTAAATCAACCCTCATTTTTTCAATAAGATGTCATGATCGCGCTCATGACCATGATCATGATGATCATAATCATCATTATCATAATGATGATAATCATTTATCAATTACATTTTCATTTCTTTGAATAAGATAAAATCGTCAAAAGGTGTTCTTCATGATGTAAATTAGAGTCAAATGTGTAACTGGTTACTGCACCGGGTCAAAGGTCATATATTGTTTCAATCTATCTTCCCTAGATCCATGATGATCAAGGAGACACAATTTAATCTTGACATATGAATAGATCATAATGGGAGAAGCATATAAATGGGAGAAGCATTTTACAAAAAAATATGTCGTGTAATGCATTATTCGTTATGTAAACCATTATCATACGTATCACCTAATTCGTCTAAGTGACGAATTAAAGTCTAGTTAGGTGATACGTAACGAAGTCAACGTATCACCTTTTGATTTCGTCAAGATTTTTCTTTATTATTTATTTTTATTATTCTTCCTCGAATTTGTTCGCAGGATATCTCAAGACTGAATAAAGCCATTGTCATGAAACTTTCAATGATGATAGATCTTAGTCTAACTTAGAACTGCGTGACTTTTCAAAGACTCAAAGTCATCGTGACGTCATCCAGGCGCCATTTTGTGAAAATCAACTAATGATCATATCTTCATAACGGATAGTAATTTTTCATTCATATTTATCATGATTAAGATCAATATCCGACCGGTCAATTTCAGGTCAATAAATGCACGCAAAAATGCGCGTACGCGTTTGTGCGCGCGTTAACGCGCGCGTAAAATTTTAAATTGCTCAAAATCGTCTTAAATTTTTTTTGCATACGTTTCAGGTCATATGGAGCATTTTAAAAAAAATTACGCACACGCGCATGCGCGCGCGTTTTCGCGCGTACTGGCATTTTGCAACATAGAATCGCCGATTTTTTTCTGTCATCATATTCGGTACATTTTTCCAAGCATTTTGATAATTTGTTCACCTTTTATTAACGCAATGAGCGTCCGTCAAAGTTGACAGCACGCGCGGATTTGCGTTATCTTTATCCACAATACATGGGCAAAAACATGCCTATATAAAATTCATTGTAACTCTTTAGGATAGATAGAAACTCCTAATATTTTTTCATATTTGGATAGATTATGAGTTGCAGATATGATTTCATGTCTCATTTTATCCTCAATTAACTCATGACGTCATCATAATGGCCTTCAAACTCAAAATTTCAATTTGCATATTATGACGTCAGCATATTTTTGGAAAATTGATTGTATCTCTGTAAATATGGATCAATTTTTTTTTAAATTTTGATATGTTCTAGCTGAGACAATTTTCTACAAATGTAGTATTCACAATTTTTATTTTTGACAAAAGTATCATGGTGTATTTTTGCGATTAAAGGAGGCATGTCAATTTTTCGCATTTTGCGTGTATTCTCTATGGGACATGACTTTTTCTCAAAACTGGATTCTACACTCCTGTCTTTCGCGAGCAAAATCTCCGTTGTTTTAGCTTCGTTTTCGCTGAGCTTCGGATATGTTGTAGCTGAGACAATAAGC